CGGGCCACACCCAAGCCGAGGGACCCTGGCCCGGGCGTCCCGGCAGAACCGGGAGTTCCGGGCCGCGCCTCCGGCGTCCCCAATTCCCGGCCGCCGCCCCAGCCCGCGCACCTTGCACAGCTGCTGCCCCTGAGACAGCGCCTCGAAGGGGAAGCGCTGGTGGCACTTGGTGCAGGCGTAGAGCGCCGCCATGTCTGGCCGGGGCCGCGATCACCGCCCGCCGGCCCGGCCTGCCGCTTTATCTGACAGTCTGAGAGACAACCTGGCGGTGGCAGCAGGCAGCAGGGTGCGGGAGGGCCTGGGCGGGCGCAGGCAGGCGCGGGCGGGCCGGAGCGAACTGAGGCGGGCGCGACGCGCTGGAGGCCCGATCACTGGTTCACTTTGATGTCGATCAAACGAAGAGAGGCAGAACAGCGCGCTTCCGACGACTCCGATTCGGACTGGGTTTAAGTACGCCACTCTGACGCACAAGGCGGCGATTATGTAAAGCGCAGTCACGCGGGGGCGCCGCCTGGAGCGAGACAGTCTCCAGACCCAGACCTCGGAAGCGCGCGGGTGCCTCCCACTTCGCTACGCGTTCCCGCCCTTGCTCCGCCCCTCCTGGGCGATGGGCGCAATCCCGCTTCTCGCGATACTTTGGCGGAGTTGTGATGTTTTGGTTTCCATGGAGCTTCTTTCTGGGAGCACGAGGAGCTGGATTGGGCGAAGGAGCGGCATTGTTGATCTAGAAGACACCACCACCGGAGTTTTCCTAGTGTGCTGAAGACCCTGCGAAAGAAACCTTCCGTCATCCGAGCAGGAGAGGCCCGTGCAGCCCTTGCACTCAAGGAAGAGCAGGAACTGAGAACAACTCGGAAGAGTGTCTGAGACCGGCCCCAGACCTCTTTTTTTCCGTGTTGCTCCCGCCAACCCAGCTTCTCAGGGACGAAACCACCTGGGGTTTCCTGAAAGGGCCTAGCCGAGAAAAGCAAGCTACACCCTCCTGGCACCTTTGCCTCTTTTGGGGCAGCCTGGCACTTGTAGAGGCTGGCCATGGAATGATAGACTTGTTTTTGAGATGTTGGTAACTCTTCCTACTGTGCTGACGTTTCCTGCCCTATAACTGCTCAAGGGCTTAGATTACTTTTGGCTCTGCCGATCGCCTGTACAGTACTAATTTTTTTTTTTAGACGGTGTCTTTCTGTGTAGTTCAAGCTGGCCTTGAGTTCACTATGTAGCCGAGGCTGGCATTGAACTCGTAGTGATCCTCCTGCCTCAGCCTCCCTAGTGCTGAGATTACAGGCATGCACCACCACTCCGGGCCTGTACAGTACTAATTGCAGTTTTACCTCAGCGTGTGTTTTTCACAGTGGAGAGCACACTGATAGCTTCAAGTTACCTGCCCGCACACAGTGTAGTATCTTTGAAACACAATCCAGGTTCCTCTTCGTGAGTTTCCCCAAAAGATGTATATTAATTAAATGTGTAGGCACTGGAGTCAGAAAAGAAGATTCAAGAACCTGCTGTGGTGGTGCACGCCTGAAATCCCAGCATTGGGGAGGCTGAGGCAGGAGGATCACTGTGAGTTCAAGGCCAGACTGGGCTACATAGTAACTTTAAGTCCAGCCTGAACTACACAGTGAGACCCTGTCTCAAAAAACTTAAATGAATAAATAAATAAATAGAAAATGTTCAAAAACACTGTTGCACATCTACAGGCTGTGTGACCTTGGGCCTATAACTGGATTCAGATCCTCATTTTCCACAATTGTAGAGCTATACAGTTGTACAGGGATTGCAGGGAGATCATGAGATCAGAAACAGTACTTGGGGGAGAGTAGTGAGAAATTACTGCCTGATTTTAAATCCTAGTTCTACCATTGTATAAATTTGGGCATATTAAAACAAAACAAAACCAGACCTGGTGCCATACTCTTAATCCAGCTACAAGGGAGACTGAGTCAGGAGACTGGCAAGTTAGAGGTCAGCCTAGGAAACATGGCAAGACACTGTTTCAAAACAAACAGGAAACAACACAGGGAACTTGGCATACTAATAAATGTTAGTTACCAAAAGAAGAAATTGCATTTCTTCTAGGGAGCTGCTGGTGCCCTGGGTCGTGTAAACAGCCTCCTTCCAGTTCTGATCTCCACTGTACACCTGTTTTACAGTTACCTACTGTACTTCAGCTGACCATGGCATTCATAATATGTCCTGATGGTGCTTACAGGGTCTGTATTGCCTTCAGCTACTACAGGGATAATTGGTCCATCCATTCAATAAACTTTTATCGAGTATTTACCTATACCAGGCTCTGCTTTAGGTACTGGGGGTGGGAAGGGTCCACAGTGGTGTATAAACAGCCATGAGGCCAGTGCAATGGCATATGTCTGTAATCCCAGCTCTTTGGGAGGCTGAGGTAAGAGAATCATGAATTTGAGCCGAGCCTGAGCAATTTACCAACTTGAGATCCTATCTGAAAAAAATAAAGACAAAAAACAGGGCTGTGAGAAGGCCTTTAAGTTCAGTCCTCAAAACAAAACAAGACAAAACACAACACAAAAACCAGGCATGATCTCCATCCTTGTGAAGCCAACAGTCTCGTAGCAAAGACAGCCAAAATGCAAGGACTGGAATCAAAAGACGTGCTTCAGGATACAGAACATATCAGGATAGGGGAGAAGGTAGGAGGAGTCACTTAGGTAGGAAGGTCAGGGAAAAACTTTCTGAGGAGGTGCCAAGATGTGAAGGTCAAGAAGAATTTAGCCATGTGACTTAGCCAAGAATGTTCTGGGTGGAGGGAAAGGGGAGGACTTTGAGGTGGAACAGATCTTGGCATGGTCAAGAAACAGAGAAACTAGTATAGCTGGGGCTTAGTGTAAGGGCAAAGTTACTTTGCTCATTGCTGAGACAAAATACCTGACAAAGTTAAAGAGGAAGAGGTTTATTCGGCTCGCAGTTCGTAGAGGTTTCAGTCCTATGTGGGCTGGCTGTAAGGCAGAGGGGCATCACAGCAGAGAAACATTCATGGTAGGCAGAAGGTACCAAAGCAACAAGGGACTTTAACAGCATCTTCCTGCTCCTTTTATCTTATCCAGACTACTCACACCCTTAATCCTAGTGGCCTTGAACTTAGCATTGCACCATGAATCAATTCCAGCATCACATGCTCTAGATTCAGCCACCTCTGAAAAAGCCCCACCTATGACCATGTGAGGCTTTGGGGAGACATCTAGATGCAAACTATAACATTCTGCCCATGGCCTCCCAAAGACACATGCATCCCTTTAGTGGAAAAAAGCATTTAGTCCATCTCTTGAGAGTTGCCAAAGTACTAACAGTTTCAGCATTGCTGAAAGTCCAAGTGCAAAGTCTCCTCTGAGATTTAAGGCAAAGTCTTAGCTGCAAACCCCTGTACAAATGAAAAGAAAGTTAAACGCTTTCAGCATTCACTGGCACAAGATAGACATTTCCATTCCAAAAGTTATAAACAGTTGGATGCAAAGGGTTGGGGTCAAAGCAAGTCCAAAATCCAGCAGGGCAAACGTTAAGTCCTGTAGTTTCAGGTGTAGCATCCCCAACGATCTGTGTGGTACACTGTGAATGCCAAAGAGTTTGGGTGGCTGTGCCCCATAGCACTGTCAGTGGTTGTAGCTCCCATGGCTTCTCTCTTGGGCCTCCTATGCCCCTTCCTTGCAATTTTTCTCAGATAATCCACATTTCTGGCTTCTCCAAACTCCTCGGGTTTCCACTGCACCTTAGGCTTCACATTCATGGATTCACACATTGGCTCCTCAAGCACACACTGCCTGGCCTCTCAGGCCTTCATCTGAAATCTGGATGGAAGCCTTCCTGACCCTACCACTCTTACATTCTGCATCTCAAACAAACACCACATGGATGATGCCAAGGTCTGCTGCCAGCTGGAGCAGTAGCCAGTCTTCCCTCTTTCTTGGGTATAGAGTTCGAGGGCCTATGAATCCAATCCCAAAGAACAACTTCCTTAGGCTGCCACCATTCTGAAATGGGGTGCTCTGGGGCTCTTGAAGCAAAGTCTTTACTTCAATTTTGAGGCTGCAAAGGGTGAAGTCGTGATGCTTCTTGTGATGCCATCTTTTCTGTTCTTCTGTTTCTTCTCAGCAATCAAGAGCTCCTCTGCTCTATCTTTGCAGTTGACAGCTTTATTGGAGCTTTTTTTCCTGCCAAACTCACAATGTTTTAAATCACCCTGTTGGGCTCTTGCTGTTTATTCTCAACATAAATCTTGCTAAAAACCCCCAAGAGTAGCCATGCCACTGTCTGTTTGGTTTGTATCTAGATGTTCCCCCAAAGGCTCATGCAGTCATTTTTTTTAGTACCAGGAATCGAACTCAGGACCTTGCCAGGCAGGTGTGCCTCATGCAGTCATGGGGGCAACTTTCTAGAGTTTGTGACTGATTTATGGTCCAGTGTTAGGATTAAGAATGTGAGTGCTGCACCCCCCCCCCAGTTGGGTAGTCTACATACAATATAAGGGACTGAAAGAGGCTTGCTTGTTTGTCTGTCTGTCTGTGTGTCTCTCTTTCTCCTTCTCCCTCCCTCCCTCCCTTTCTTCCTTCTCTTGTTGCTTTTGCTGTTTTCTGACACCATGAATGGTTGCCCCTCTGCCAAGTGCAGCCCTGCCTTGGAGCCAGCTGATTATGGACTGAAACCTCGGCAAACTATGAGCTAAATAAACTTTTCCCCCCTTTAACTCAGGCATTTTGCCTGAGAAATGTGACTAAGACACCACCTCAACATTAGAGTGCCTTGAAATTTCTTCTGCAAGATTAATTAGTCTGCTGCCCTTAATCTCAGTCTCAGGCAAAGTCTCTGGACACAAGCAAAATACAGACAAACCTCCCAAGGTATAACATACATTGTCCAGAGTCCAACAGCCAGTGCAATCCTCCTTCCCAGGAGAAACCTCCCAAGCCTGGTCTTTATCAGCAAAATTTTTATCAGCATTCTGGTCTTCTGAACTCTGACCAGAATCTTCCATCAAGCACAGCCTCAGGCAAACAGGTGTCTGTACTTTTTCAGCTGGCATCTCTAAACCTTTCCTAACTCTTCCCCTCCCCACAAGCCAACTCCAAAGGCTCCTAAACCACATGGTCAGGCACAGTCACAGCAACAGCCCCACTTCTCTGGTACCAAACTCTGTGTCAGCTACTTTTCCTGTTGCTGAGACAAAACACCCAACACCCAAAGTTAAAGGGGAAAAAGTTTATTTGGCTCATAGCTTGTAAAGGTTTCAGTCCACAATCAGCGGGCTCCAAGGCAGGGTGACATGGCAGACAGACCCCGAAGAAGAGAAACATTCATGGTGGGCAGAAGGTAGCAAAGCAACAAAGGGCCTTAACAATGTCTCTCTGCTCCTTTTGCCTTATTCAGACTACTCACACCCTTAATCCTAGTGCAGCCTAGCATTGCACCATGAATCAATTCCAGCATCACAAGCTCTATATCCAACTTCCTTTGAAAAAGCCCCACCTATGACCACATGAGGCTTTAGGGGGACATCTAGGCACAAGCCACAACAGAGAGCAAGTGAAAATATCAGCAGGGAGACAGAGCCCATTAGGTAGAGACTGTAGACCCCGTTATGAATATAGATGTTTGA